ATTGAAGAGAATATAATTTTTAAAAAAAATCATAAATATTTAGAATAACTACATTAAAAAATATGTTATGAAATTAGGAGAATTCCAACTATATACTATATATTTTATTTATACTTTTTATTTACATTTCAATTTTCTTTGACTTTATCCATTTTTTAATTTTTTTCACCTGCCTTTCTTTTTGAAGTAACGAGGCGGTTTCTATTAAATAATGAATTTTTGTAAAAGTTCTTAACGATAGAGTAAACGTATTGCTGTTTTATATTAACCGTGTCATTTCGGAATCCACTCTTTACATAGTTGTTCATTTACTTTAGGGAACACGCGGGAAATTATAATTTTCCCTCTTGTTTTCATATCAGAATTTTTGCAAGTTGCAATCGCGCAAACTGGCATTTCGATAATAGTTTTAAATTCTTGTAAATTCACTGCAAAAACTGAGGAAAGTCATTATAGAAAATAACAAATGTCTTAGAATATCTCGCAAAAAGAAATGATCCAATATTAGTTAGAGCTAGTAAGGCCGAACGCTCCGTTCTTGAAGTAAAAGTGCGAGCTTTGCGCCAAAGTGACGTCACTAGAGAAAATCGGAAGATTGGCGAGGCGAGAGTTACTTCAAAGGAGTGAACCAGTCCTTCTATTCTCTTTAGCCCTGGCAGATATCTAATTGGCACATTAACGTCGTAAGAAACGCTTATAAATATTATACGCATTTTCAAACTTAGTTTTTACCTATATGTAAATCATATTTAATTTGTTCTTATAGGCTATCGCCTGTTGGTGTTCTATTCCTAGTGGCCAGCAAGATTTTAGAAATGGACGATATCGGAGTGATTGCTGGACGTGTGGGCCTTTACACAGCGACAGTATTGGCAGGAATTTTTATACATGGATTCATTGTACTTCCATTACTTTATTTTGTATTCGTCAGAAAAAATCCCTACTCCTTTTTGATCAGAATGAGCCAAGCAATGGCGACAGCATTTGGAACAGCATCCAGGTAAATTTTTGGACACTAAGAATTTATTTTATTCGTATCGCTAAGTGGCTTGAAAAGTATAGTGAACCTTAAGAAATGGTGATAATATTTGGAACACCATTCAAGTAAATTTTTTAAGACGAGATTTATTTTGAAAAACGATTCGTATTTGTTGGATTCGTATCGCTTTGCGCTTTGAAAAAAAAAGTGAAATGACGATAATATTTGGAGCAGCTTACAGGTAAATTTTTTAAAACAGATCATTTGTTAAAAAAGAAAAATGATTAGTACTGATGGACTCGTACCGCTAAAGCGTGGAATAGTAGAAAAAAATTGAAAAGCAGTGGAATAAGGATTTTGATGTGTTTATAATTGAAGATACCTTTTTAGTAACACAAAAAATTTAATAATGCAAAAATAAATACATAAGTACAAAAGTAAACATCACGAATGCGACATTTACATGCGAGTGCAACCAAGGCAGTCCTCTACCAATCTGGAAATAATAAAAAACTGTTCTTGTCCGTTTTTTCCTTTCTATGGGGAAAAATCTAATCGTTTTCCATGCCGCAAGTTTTGTTTTTCCCTTTTTATAGCTCCGAATCTCAGAATAGCTATAGTATTTTTAACAGATTCCAGGTAAACTTAGCCAATAGCTAAAAATAAACAATCTGAATTACGCCTCAAAGTTTTTATGCAAACGTAACGTTTTATTACCACTCTACAAATAAATTTGCAATTTAAAATGCAATTTTTTTGAACTCAGAATAAATTTTTTTCCAGTTCTGCTACATTACCAATTACAATTCAGTGCTTGGAAGAAAAAAACAATATTGACCAGCGGGTATCCAGATTTTGCCTACCAATTGGAGCCACGATTAACATGGATGGTACAGCTCTGTACGAAGCCGTGGCCGCTATATTCATAGCCCAAATTAGAGGAGTTACTCTTAGTGCAGGCAATATCATTGCAATTAGGTAAAGATAATACCATTTGTCTGTCTATTACTAATCACTGACTTGGGTAACGGAAAAACTGACTGTCATTAGACTATTTAAGGGTAATTAAGAGGTGATCCAAAGATTAAAAAGTAATATCCTAACTCTTGTCAATATTTTAAATTTTAAAAAAAAAAAAAAATTCTATGGTTACTTCTAAGAAGAGGGCGAGATCATTGGATGGTGGGAAAGGCCTCAGGCTCAAGTCTGATGACTGTCATGACATTTAATATAATACATTGGCTTATAATTAAATTTATACTATCTAGTGATAATAATTTTAACACTAGAAAGATTGAAACTTAATGTATACCTATATTGCCCAAAAGCAGTCAAAATTACTGGATTGTGAAAGAATAACTAATGTGTAAAAAAATTTGTTCGAAATTAATTTTTTATATTTTTTATGTTATTTACAGTCATATAACAAGTTATTAGTAAATATTAACAGTAAAAAAAAATTATATGTTGAACAAAAAGTCACAAAATTCTAAGAAATTGTGACATTATATACATCATCGTTTTTCTAATTGAAATTAAAAAACAGTCAAAATTACTTCCTTGGTCAATCTAGTGTTAAGAAATTAAGTTTACAGATACTCTTTATGTTTTCTTATGTTTCTGACGTTATTATTTTATACTCGTAATTCAACTAAATTTTAAAAAAAATTAAAAAAATATGTCAAGGAGTCTAGTAGTCCATCAAATTTATTATAGTGGTATCCAAATTTTTATTATAAATTTATATGTTTCATGTTATTAAAAAGTTACACGAAGCATTCCGGATGGAAAATTTAAAACAATTAAGTGATTGCTGTAACAGGTGAATTTTCGCTGCTTTGATAAGTTAACTTATACAAACTTTGAGAGACCACTAGTCGCAATGTTATGTTGATTATTCAAACAGTTTAATCAAACGTTTTCTGATAATTACAATTAATCATTTTTGTAAAGGTAGCAAAAAGAAAGGAACTACTGCTGTGTTATTTTTACAGGGCTGCCAACTTTCTACGCTTTTTGTTAAAATTTATTCTAGTGGTACCTATGCTTATGCTTTATTTAACGTATTATTTTTTGTTCGTTTGAACTTATTTTCCACGCCACTACATATAAATGATTTAAAAGTTCGTATGCAACGCCACTTTGTTCTAGCTATATCGTGCTGAGGCTTTTAAAATGTTGGCAAAATTATCAAAAATTCTGAAAGTTTTAGTTTTTAAATGTCTACCACTGTATAAAATATTTTGCAAAAAGCGTAGTTGTTGACAGGCTTGTGTTTACATGCGCCGAAATGCTGGGTAGAAGGTGGTATTTTCCATCTTTTTTTTTTTTTTTTTTTTTTTGACTTACTTCCCCTACGCAAGGAGAAAAAAAAGCACGGCTAGAAAGTTTCTTGTCTAAAGAAGGGTTAATTCCGGTATAAAAATTTATCTCGCTTCCCATGATGCGCTGCGCATACCACAATTCTTCGCTATCTGGTTCTTTCACTTTTATTTTTATTCACTAGATGTCGCCACAATTAAAAAATATTAATAATACAAAATATTCATAATGAAAATTATATATATATTTTATTATAAAATTATGAAATGTAAAAAAAAAAATCTTTCAAAAACGGAAGAAAGAAATTCGTTTTATGGGGAAAATCAAAAGTGAAGAAAATAATTTTTTTTTTGAGAATATTAGAAGTTTATAAATGCGAATCAAGAAATGAATAAATTTCAAGGCTATGTAAAAATAAGATTAAAGAATAATAATGTTGTTTAAATAAACAGACTAAATGATGCGCAATTCACCTTATTTCTGATGGAGGTTCTCTCTGTTATCGACAGGTGGCAGTACAATAAGAGGAGGTTATAACTTCCTTTTTGGTGATGCGAATGCATTGATTTACACTAGAGCCCCTAATTTACACTAATCTGAGCTGCAATGACGTCATAAAAGAATTGCAAACTTCCAGTTTGATTTTTTTTTTAAAGGATACTGGATGAATAATTTGAACAATAGACTTTAAAAGAATCATTTATAAATTTTTTTTAAATGTTGCCGTATTAATTTGATTAATGACGTCGTATTAATATTAATTTTCAAAATTTACACGAAATTAATACCTTTTAAATTATTCAGAAATGAGTATATCATTGATATTTATTTCTCATTAATGTAAAATATAATGCTTTTATGAATCTTAAGCATTATCAACTTTTTATTTAGGAACATTCCAATGTTTTTAACATTCTAATGCTTTATTTTAAAACATTCCAATGGAGCAAATTTGGAAAATTTGCTCCAATTTTAGAATTGTTAAAAATTGCAGTTATAAAATTTAGCAAAGTAAAGGTTTCTAAAAGAGATTTAGTAGATCATTTACCTTTTCTCTGAGTTGATTTAACGGTTAACTATTTTTATAGTGTGCTCTTAAATATAATTTTTTAACATTCAAAAAAATATCGTTTTTTTTCTTTTCTTTTTTAACCCAATTGGCAAAATGGGTGCTGTTTTAGGTTCGATGGCGTGCTCACCTTATTTGGATGTCATCACACTTTTCAACTGTGTACAAGAGTAATAGTAAACAGTGCGCATGCGTTGACATTTTATGTGTTGCTAAGACGACAGTTTCTGTTCGATAATTTTTTACAATTCTTTTTTTCACTTTTAATTTTGTTATACATTAAATTGGTGAGTTTATTTTTGAGATATGGAATCGGAGAGATCCCATAAATACTTCTTGAGTTGTGAATAAAAGAAAATTTCATCATTTGAACGACATTTTTGTTTTTATTGCTTTAATTAAAAATCAAAACTTCTAACCTACAGTTCAAACTGGAAAGAAGAAAAAAAATTAGACAACAATTATTTTGCCAATGGGTAACCAGCATATATGGCAGTACTTTTACTTTCGTTACTTGTACCGCCGGTACAAGTAAAAAGTACGTACTTTTACTTGTACTTCGTTACTTTTTAAATTTAGTACTTTTACTTGTACTTTCGTTACTTTTTTAGGGAAAAAATTAAAAGTATTTGTAACGGAAATGTCGAATGAAATCGTTACTTTTTTCTTTTTTCTAAAACTCGGTAAGCTTTCTTAAAAGGAAAAAAAAAAGAAAAAAGCTGTGAATAAATACCTTCTGTTTCAACTTATACTGCACATTCAATTATTTTTTACTAGCTCAAAGATCACAAAGTTATCTAAAACCCTGTGTTTGCTTTATGTTTTTAAAACGCGTTTCTAAAGAGTAAAAAAATTTTAAATCAATGGTAATTTAAATAAATAAAAATAATAAACTAAAAATTAAAATCAATAGATAAAATTTCTTTTTCGTGCAAATCCATAAAAAGTTTGATATTAAAATTATATTTGATTTTAAAATTATATTATACGATTATATTATAAAATTATATTATAATATTCTTCCGAATTTAAAAATAAATTAATATCCATAACTTTCAAAATTAAAAATAATTAAATAAATAACAACAATTTTGCAAAAACATTAAAGAACATAAGAATATTATTCA